CGCTAGTTTTTGGAATTCGGCATATACCTCATTAACGTCATTCTGCTCCTCTTTGGAAAGTATTTGACAGCTTTGTTGTATCCAATTCCGAATACTGTTGATAGCTTGAGTTATCGCCGTAAAGATTTGAACGACATTTCCAATTGTGGCTATAGTCTCTGTTGTATTCATTGAATGATTTAATTTTTGTTTGAGTGTATGGCAAGTGTTACGTTTGAAGATTTTGGATCAATCATCAATAAATAGATATAAGCTAGACTAGGGGTGGCACTTTAACTTTAAACTTTAAAAGTTAAAGTGGTTAAAGTTAAAGTAAAACACTTTAACTTTAAAGTTAAAGTTAAAGTATTCTACTTTAAACTTTAAAGTTAAAGTTACAGCAAGTTTACTCTAATGTTTAACTTTAAAAAATTTAAAGTTAAAGTAGATTTTTTCGCAATAAATATTTTTTCGTAAAAAAAACTATTTTCTTGTTAAAAAATTATTTTTTTCATAAAAAAGTTTTTTTTTTACGAAGAAAATAATTTTTTTATGAAAAAACAACTTTTTAGGAAAAAAATAATTTTTTGCGGAAAAATCTACTTTAACTTTAAATTTTTTAAAGTTAAAGTTTAAGGTATGCTTGTTTTTACTTTAACTTTGAAGTTAAAGTTAAAGTTTAAGGTATGCTTGTTTTTACTTTAACTTTGAAGTTAAAGTTAAAGTAACCATACTTTAAACTTTAAGTTAAAGTTTAAAGTTGAAGCATGCTACTTTAAACTTTAACTTTAAAGTTTAAAGTGGATACTTTAATCTTTAAAGTTAAAGTTAAAGTAACATACTTTAACTTTAACTTTAAAGTAAAGTTAAAGTGCCACCCCTAAGCTAGACCGCTTCATCTCGAAAGTTGACTTATTATAGAGGTAAACATTTTATTCGGCAAATTCCATGTGAAACCTTTTTCGTATGCGTGCGCTCCATCTGTATATCAAAATTTACTTTTCTTTGTTATCATATTCAAATAAAAAGATAAAATTAAAATTTGACGTCGGTACTTTTTTCTTGCCACCACTGATCGAGATTATTCACCGACGACTAAAACTTTCCTGTGTCAATAAACAATATCATCGCTCTGGGAAAAAAACAATGATTCTTGTTTTGAAGTGAGTTACGTATATTTTTTCAATCTCCAATGTAAAGCTGTGTATATAGTTTTTCTGCGTCTGTTAAAAAAAGTGACGGTCGTGGTTAGGGGAGTTGATTTGCATTTAATTTATTATAAAGGGTGTGGGTGTGTGTGGGTGTGGGGTGTGGGTGTGGGTGGGTGTGGGTGTGAGTCAGATTAAACAGAATATCAAAACCCACCCATGCTCACACCCACATTTAATGCGGTGCAAAGCACAGCATTGATTTTTACTGTAATAAAATCTGTACCTTGTCCCGAAATGTTCTAGAGTACGGTAAGTTGATAGAAATTTGTTCGAACTATGTCAGAGAGATAGATATCTTGAGATTATTCCAACGATTTTGAATCTTCAATACGAGTTTTTCTTCTTCTTCAGTAGTGTTCTACAAAATACTGATTTTGACGATTTGGCCTTTATCATTTACCCGAAATTATTAAAATTGATGAACTAGTCTCCAATTAGTTGTTGTGCGTAGGAGAAATAGTAGCAACCTTGGACAGGACAGGATCGACTCTTGGTAAATTCGTTTATCATTTTTACTTTCTAGACATAAGCATTCAAAGTTATAATTTTCTATTGCGATAATCTCGAGAACGGAGAATGAAAAAATACATAGAGATACGTGCTTGTACTGTTTTATCCATGCATTGAAGAAAGTAATCGACATATAGGATGTCTTTTTTCGTACGAAATTCTTATAACTATTTGAAATCAAAACTAAGCATACCTCTTCAGGTCTACAGCTTTGTTACGCTATCAATAGCAAGAGTAAAAAAAACGATTATTGCAGTTCCAGAAAAGAGCCTGATATTCATCGCATAGCAAAGGTATATTATTTAGGTGACATAACTTATTTTGATTTCAAATATAAATCTCCTACGGACAAAATTTTCTACATGAAATTCCTATTCAAATAGAATATCTGATGAAATTTGCGCTGCCCTTGCAAATGATATATCAAGTAATAAAATTAGGTAAATATTACTCTTTTGAAAATGCGTAGTCGAATAATTTTGAAAGAATGAAAAGCGTTGTGCTGTGATCAGATCAACGGATTGTTCCAAATGAAAAATTTCAAACCATTAAATATGATATTTATCCAATTATTAGCGTCAGAAAAGATGATCCAAAAATATAGTTTCATTGTAAGTTAGAGGTATTAATATTTGATCGATTAATCATTTGTCTTATTCTTTAGATAGAAAGATTTTTGTACAAATTTAACTAATTATGTAAGCTTAATGAATAAAGAACTAAATAATTCATAAAGTTGTTTTTAAATTTACCTAGATTTTATTCATATATTTCATTATTGAAAAGGCTAAAAGAAAGCAAAGATAATTATTAGATATGATATATCCTTCAAATGAAGTTTTATTACTATTATATCACAAAATTTTCACGAAAAATTTTCTTCACTATAAAATTCAATTCAAGATTCTTATAAAAAGTTAACTGAACTCTGCAAACTTCTCCTCGCAACAAGGAAACAAAAACTTTCAAGAAAAGAAAAAAAATCACTTGGAATATATATATTCAATAATCAAACTCGTTTTTACGTATTATATGACAAATAAATATTCTGTTAAGTCTGATATTTACCATCGAAAACGTTTTTTATCATTATATGGCATACAACGGTATGCACAATTTTCTTCATCTAAAATATGCAAATAGATTTTTTTCTTCAAAATAAATTCTCACCTGAATTATCATCACAATCATCCATTCCTCTTCAAAACTCAAAAGCCATTCATCAGTTGGAATATGTCTCTCATCAAACATATAACTCCCCCGAATTTGAAAATTCTACCCATGATTTTCTCAAAATATCAACACAGTAAACTACGAAAGAGATTTTGCTTATTATTTATAATAGTTTTTACTTTTCTAATATACAAAAAGTTAAATTTACCCTCGATTTTCTATCTTGTACTTTACCTTCAATAATAAATACACGAAGATTTCTATACTTTGAAAAGTAAGAATTTTTTTTTTGTTTTTAAAATATCAACATACTCTAATTTTTCTAAACGTTTATCAATTATTAAATCTACTAATCCAGTTACATCAGTATCAATAATTTTAACAAAATTAATTCTTTCATTATGTGCTTTTTCCCAATCTGAATCAAATAAATCAGCAACTAATAGACCAACAGCAAGATAATTTGGTTGTGATAAATATCTTGAATTAAGTAATGTGATGCTATAACAACCATCTAATTCAGTAAAAAACGTATTTGATTATCTTTTATTATAACTGTTGATTGTGTTCTATTGAATTTCATTCGAAAAGTTTTATCACTATATACTTATTGAGAAAAATTGTTTACTCCAATTGATAGACGTACTTTGATCAAAACAGAATGATGATCAAACGACTCTTCTTTTATAACTTCAGCTTCTCAATCGGATGCACCATGTGTAATTCCAGAGTCAATTACTACAGAAGATCTTTGAAACATTGATTAGTTGGAATGAGTCGTCTTACAGCAAATACTATACAGTCAACTTTTCGCATACGATCAACTGGCATTAGTTTGGCCGTAAAGGTAAGCAGCATGTAAAGCTCATGTACGTACGATGGCAAATGACGATGCACAGTGATCTACGTTGGCTGAATATGGTATAAATATGATGTATATATGGTAAAAATGCGGTCGTAAAGACGCCGTAATAGAGCTGCATACGAGCATCGCAACTATGCATCTGAGTGATACAAATGAGAATGGTTTTTACAATGACTTTCATTTTGAAAAAAATACGACACAATATAAATATAAAAATGTGTCTATGATACATATTATAACCATTAATCAAAAACATATTGATAAATCAATCGATGACCGAGATTGAACTACCTCAAAATCATATAGTCAGGATCAAATCAATTTGATGTGACTAGATCTTAGAATCTTGCCGTCTTGTACTTCAAGAGTAGTTGCTAATAGTTCAAATTAAACTGGAAAAATAGTAATTATTCAAGTTTCCAAAAACAAAAAACTACGAGACTTGCCGAAGAAGAAACTCAAATCATGTTTTCCGAATGTATCCTAACGAGTACCTCCCTTTGTAAAATACAAAAAACATTGAAAACAAAAAAAAACTGTTCCTATATTTTTGGCCAAAAAGTCTTTCGGATACACGCTGATTGTACCTTATAGACAATGAAATTATAGAGATAATTAAATGATCAACCGATAATATTCTTAAGAAGAATGTTGACAAGCATTTATAGAGTTCTCGTTGTAGTGAGTTTCACTGCGGCAATTTTTCACATTGATCTTGACTTTGATCAACTAATTGTTTGAATCCAGTAAAGCGTGAACATCTTTAGCGCAAGAGTGATTTACAATAGATTCTAAGAAACAATGAGTCTTTTTTTTCGAAAATTGAGAGAATCTCGAATACCATTTAATCTTTTCTTCATCGTAACTTTGCTGGATAATGTCGTGTACAGTTCAACACGGTACATAAACAGCCGCATATGGACCTTATCGTTCACATGTTAATACGTGTTACTGATATTAAAATTTCAACATTTCCTCTATCAGATTGTATGAAAGCTATATATTTTGAAGCTTTATTTTCCGTACGTTTACTAACTCATACTAGGTAATCGTTGAATACTGTTATATAGACATATAATTATTCCTATCATGAATACAACTGTGAATTTAACCTCTAATTTTTACTATACAGTAAAATCTCTTCTTAAAAAAATGTGCTCTCACATGCAATTCGATATTATGATCATGAATTTTTTTTTATAGAAGCTAGTCGAGTTGAGTTCTTTGTAAGCTCGTTCTACAACTGGTTTCTGGTTATACGTCACTACTCCAATCTAAAAAAAAGAATACTTATAAAATTTGATTCCTTTTTGTAGATATTGAAACGTTTCCTCGGGCAAAAATTACCGATTTCTTTAACAAACTATCGATCTGACTCTGGTATTCTTAATTTATTTTAGTTTTCTCATTAACAAAATTAATAATTTAGATTTTCATATTTAAAATTAAAGAAATTAGAGAGACAATCAATTCTCTCAACTGATTAAAATTTTAGACAAATTTTTATCGGAATGTGAAGTCAAACACACAAACTGTTAGAATATTTACTATTTGTAGAGAAGAGATAAAATAGGTTAATTTAAACATTTTTTGTTCTCCTAACAAATTGATCTTCTCTCATTCATAATTACAAAAATCTTAAACAATGCATCATAATCAACATTGAAATAATTTTTATACATGAAATTCAATATTATTAATAATCGTATAGTTTTTATTTCGAAGACAAAAAAAAAAAAGAAAAGAAAAGAAAAGAAGAATGCGAAGGCCAATGGTCAATAGACAAAACAAAAACGAATATATCCGTCACTGTCGCACTCAAAATGAATTTTTATACACATATGCAAAAGAAAAAGAAGAAAAGCATGTTGTCCCACCGGTGCTAAGCAAATAATTAAAAAAAACAAATGCTTGCATATTGCACGGGACAGTAAAAACCAAATGAAAATTAGTCTATCTGAATTGATGTTGTTGTTGTTGATATTGTTGTTGTGGTTGTTGTTGCTGTTGTTGTTGATGATGATGATGATCTTTTCTAAATTGTTTTGCATCAAGTTTTTCACGTTCTTTAGCTTGTTTTTTTGTTTTATATCGATGATTTTGAAACCAAATTTTAACCTTGAAAAAAAACTTTTTCTTTTTCTTTTTTTTTTTTTATTAAAAATATTAAATTCAACAAACTTGTGTTGGTGTTAATTGAAGAATATTTGCAAGATTTTCACGTTCAGGTGCACTTAAATATTTTTGTTGTTTAAAACGTCGTTCTAATTCATAGATTTGTCCTTGATTAAATAAAATACGTCGTTTACGTTTTTGTGATACAAATGGAAATTGTGCATAAGCAGATTTCATCATTGGATCTTGATGATGTCCATAAACACTTGCTGCTAATGCTGCACTATCAACAGCTGATGATGAACCAACTAAATATCGAGACACTAAAATAATAATTTTGTTTTTTTTGAATAATATCTTTATTTTAAAACAAAACTATTTACTTGCTGCTGATCCATACCAACATGAACTTGGTGAATATTGTCCAGTTACTGTATTTGTATTACCACCATTTTGTAATGTACTACTATAATCATAATATTGATTATTAGGAGAAAATGCTGATGTTGATGTTGCTGTTGGACCATAATAACTACTATGTACGGATGATGGTCCAAATGATGGATTACATAGACTAGCTGATGTAGCACTTGTTGATGAACGTTGAGAATTATATATTGATGATGATGATGATGATGCGGCTAAAGCATGTGCCATTTCAAGTGAACGTTTATAAGGTGTTGATGCATCAATATCTAATGGTTGTAAAATATCTGTTACACTAAATGGCATACCAGTATTCGTACCGACTATTGATGGAACCATTGAAGAAGGTGTTGAACTTCGTTTTATAGGACTAAAAAATAATAATAATAATAATACATGATTATTTAAATTTTATTCTATAATAAAAATCTTAAATAGTTTAGAAATGTAGATATTTGTCAAGTTCAAAGAAACTTAAAAATAAGTAGAATAAAAATTTCTTCTTCTTTTTTTTTTTTTGTCAAATAACAATTCAATAATGCATTAAATTTGTTCAAGATTCTTTTTTTATTTTCTTTGTTAATGATTAAATTGCGACATTTTATTTTATTTTTTTTTTCTTCGTAATAAATGATTTTCATAGAGAGTTATTATTAAAATGAAGAGTGAATGATTGTATGTTTTATAAAATTAAAAAGATAAAAAGAGTACTTACTGATTAGTATAGTAAGCAATATTATCGATATGTTCCTGTTTTGCCATGTCGAAATAAAGTGAACAAGAAGTTTTTTTTTTTTTTTATGAGTGGCTCATTCAATAAAATAACTAGGTTTCTATGAAGAAAAAGTTCGTGATCAAAGATGATGACGTCTTGTAACTGTTTTTTCTCTTGTCAATAGTTAAAGTATGTTTCTATATATTATTATTAATCGGTTTTTGCTCTTTTCTTCGTCTGTTCTATGAGTGCCATAAATAAATAAGAATAAGAAAAACAATAGCAATTGCTTATGTATGAATATATATATATATATATATGGATGTACGCAGCCACACAACACTTCACCTAGTAGTGCACAGAAGAAGAAGATGATGATGATGATGATGTGTTTTTTTAAGTAAAATAAAAAAAAAAAGAAAACCAAGAAGAGAGTTTTTTTATTTCGTCGTTTGAAGTTGACGCACTCAACAGGACAGAAGTGTCTTCTACAATGATGATGATGATGAATATAAGAAGTACTTTTCTCGGCTGGTGTTGCGTTTTTTTCAACGACGAAGTGGAGGATTATTAAACTGACAAGAGAGAAAGAGAGACGAAGAAAAAAAAAAAAAAAAAAAAAGAATAGCTATGTTCATTTTTTTTTCTTTTCCTTTGTCGATTTTCTTTATTTTTCTACCAATGAATGTTCAACGAACGAATAAATTCAATGAATTTCATTGGTAGATTTGTTTCCGACAAGGCACCAAAAAAAAAAAAACAAAAACGGAAAAATGAACGATAAAAAATTGCACACATAGATATTGTGATTAACATTCGGCGCCGTTCACTTCTCTCTCAATTAAAACTTGAGATAATTGAATTGTGCATACATATTCAGACAAAATGCCACATTTCATCATGAAATAAATAGATTTATTTTTTAAATAAAGCAAAAAAAAAAAAATTAATTCTACTTGTTTATGTCGAAGTTTTGAACATATTTTAATATCTTTCTTAGAAACAAAAAAAAAAGAAAGGAAATTAAGTTTTGCTTTTTTTTTTCTTCTCTCCTTAGGGTAAGTCTATCGGTTTTTCTGACTTCTTATAAACAATTCAATAAATTTTTATTAATAGAAGAATTTTGTAAGATTGATCAAATATTATTGTTGATGTTGAAAGTTTTTTTTTAAATAAATTGTAACAGTTGAACAAGTCCTGTACGAAAAAAATGTCTTACTAAATAAGTATGAATACTTTTCAAGTATTGAAGACGTGTACACTCTTATATATCCTTGCACTTTTGTGAAACCTACACTATGATATGCTAATAGGCCAATCAGGATCCGGCATTGATAAGCGAATGTAACACTTGAAATTTGACATCTCTTCTTGCTTCTTATACAACATCTGTTTTCAGTACTGAGTTATATTCCTTGTGAAAAATTTTATGTTCGTTTCCCAGTATATAGCCAAAAGTTGTTTTTGTATTTTATCATAAGTGAGGTACTCTTCCTGTGTAATAGAAAAGAAAAAAACTACAACAACTCCCACCCTCCGCCATCCATGTTAACTGCTTCAGGCCACGCCTACCATTTGTATTGACACAAACTTTTCTTTTTCTTTTATTATTATTATTTAATCTAGAACAATGACGAATAAATATTTCATTTAAATAATTTTTTTGAAATATATCAAATTTTATTACTTTATCGAAAACAAGTTATTTTC